GGAGGTTATGTGGTCTTTCACTGTGCAGTTGCTACCTGTGTTTTTTTTATCTTTGCTCTATCAAAAAAAAGCTCTCTGATCGCTAGGTGAAGATGTAAGTGTTTTCCTTTCTTGTTTTCAACGGTGGGTCGCTAACCTTTAGGGTTTGTTTCTATAGTTTCCTTCAAAGTGTGGGATCTGAAATTATTATTTTAACGTATTTCTAGTTATTTTAACAGTGAGTAAGAGGTTCCCTGGTAGTTTTGACACGCTCGATCCAGCTCTTTATTGTTGCTTGCAGGATATTGAAGCTCAAGGATTACTGCAGCTACCCTACTCTATTAGTTTAAAAAAAATTGCACTCGGTCTACAATGTTGCTTGCATCAGTCAACTCCCGAAGCCCTTTCATATTAGAATAATGCAAGTCTTAGGACTGTGGCGCGATGATGCTATTATTCCTCCCTTAGCAGTTATTGTGACAGTTGCTACTAGGAAGCAACATTATATTAAACTTGGTTTTGTTTTTTTGTGGCCAGAATAGTACAACCGTTTTGACTGGCTTAATGTTGACCTTACGCAATTATTAGGCCATATCAGAAGTTCTAGATTTTTAATTGGCTCCAGACCTTTTAAGCAAAAAGAGCCAAAAAAAGCCAATCACAAGGGGTGGATCACTTATCCTCTTGTGCTTGAAAAACATGAAGGTACACATTGTTCCTTTTTTGTGTGGCCCTTTGCCTTTGAGGATAATTTAAAATATCTACTGTTTTCTGGGGCTAAAATGCAGTATTCCTGGAACAAGAGGAACTCTCTTCCCTGGCTCTTAAGCACATCCACTATCTAACATACATTGTTCTGTTTCTAAGAAGCACCCAAGTATGCTTAAGCTTGGCGCACTATTGAAAGAGCATGATGATTCAAAGATCATGCAGCAAACCTATAGTGAAAAATACAAATTTACAACCTTCTTTTTCTTCCTTTCAAAATTGTAAAATAAAATCACTTTTGAAGTTTAAAGTTTAAGAAATTCCGATGTTTTTCAAAACGCTCGAAATGCAGTCTCTGACGCCCCCGTCCCCCCACCCCCTCTAGAGACTTTAAAAGCCTCCGGGCTGGTTTGGTCCGTCTCCTCGTTGAATCACACCTCCCCATATTAAATCCTGGCTACGGGCCTGCTTTAGTACCCACGACTCCTCTGGGAATATTGGCAACAGAGCATGTGTCCAGGTTTCCATCTTAAATACAGTTTTCACAGTAAAGAGATGGGCTTGATCTTGTTACCTCACCGGATAAAAAATTATCCGGATTTAGCGTCCACACGATTCCGGTTTCATAGCGTCTGCAAAAATTTCCACTCTGGAGAGCGGATTAAAAAAGTTGCGGATTCGTATGCCGGATTCAACGGATTTGTGTGGACGGAAGCCGAATCCGCAAAGAAAAAGTTGCGGATTAAAAAATCGGTCAGTGTAAAACGAAGACTACGGACTGCGGAATGCACACTGCGGACCAGGGGTAAAATGCAGACTGAGTGTAAAGTGCAGACTGCAGACTGAGAGTAAAACGCAGGCCTGGTACAAAAGTGCAGACCGAGCATAAACTGTAGTCGCGGAAGGGTAGGTGTTTTATAAGTCAAAATATTCCGCAAAAAAATGTAAACGATCACCTTTCACAAATCCAATCCTTTCTTCACTGTAGCCTGTTCCAGGCGTTCAGATAGTAGAAGGCCTGCAATAGGCTATTTTCTCTAGAACGTCGTCGAAAAATAATCTCAATCTTGAACTCTTTATCTTACCGAGAGACCTCACTCTTCAAATTTCAATACACATGACCGTGAATTGGTAACAACACGACCATATTTACGCTTAAATATAAGCTGCTGACCAAAACACTGTACAGAAGGAATAATGGCGATAAAAAGGGAGTAAATCATTCCAACAACAAAGAAAGATGTTCTGCAGGAAATTTGGATGACCTTCTATCGAAAGTATAGCAAATCAAGGTATGCAGATAGCTGTTCGGATGTTCATTGAAACTTCTGGCGAATGTGCATGTCACTGAACAACAAAATTGACCGTACACTGTGTAGCTGTGTACAATAAATCAATAGAATGCAAGGTTCACTTCAAATATAACTGCAACTCGTCGTCCTCCATGTTTGTATCTTCCACACCGAATGCCCAAATCAGAGGAGTTGGTAGAATAAATGGTTTACACATAACATGCGTCCCACATGTGTTCCTCGTCAGGTCTCTTCAATCTCGTTCCCCGTTCCGCTGGACAAGGGTAACGTGGGGAACGAAGTCGCTTGGTTCCTGGGATAAAAACTACTTCTACATTGTTTTCTGCTTGACATTTCCCTTACTTTCCCTCTCATGTGGTTCTTTCTGCATTTTACCCCCAGCCTGCGTTTTCCTTTAGGGCTGCAGTCTGCATTTTACCCCTGTTCCGCAGTCTGCAGTCCACAGTCTTCGTTTTACACTAACCGATTAAAAAATATCCGTGTAGGTGTGGAAGGGGCCTTAATCAGAGCAATTCAGATTATTTATGTTTCGAATATACTTTTTTCTGCAGGAAGAACACGACGTCAATCGGTGCTGATAACTGGATGGAAAGTCTGCGATGGTCCGGCTCAGCCCATATGCCCATTCGCCAAGCAGCTGCTCGATTGCAAATTTGCTGGCAGCATGACGTGCAAATACTCTTCTCGCCGCAGAGGCTTTGAGTGTCCCAGTGTGTTTAACATTATAGACTGCTGCACTGCAAGGTGTCTTTGAAGCATAAACATACATATATCATCATAAATAATTTGTACACATAGGGTTAATAGTGTAATAATATTTTTGCTAATTACTAGCTCATAAAGAAAGAGAGAGAGAGAGAAAGAGAGAGAAAGGAATGAACTTCTCTGTAACCACAGAGGAGAGTTATTTATTTTGTATTAAGATTATTGATTATGAGGAAATTAAAATTTCAAATGCATACCGTTCCCGGAATTTTTCATGCTTTCTACTTTGATAAAACAACGGGCTAATATCTAATACCGTTCTTATTCTTGGTGGTGAAGTTACTTTAGGAAATCTCAAACAAAATGTGCTATTAATATTACAGTCTCACCTCCCAGGGGCGGACCTAGAACATTCAGAAAGGGGTGGCTTGTTCACTTGCCAGCTATATAGGTATCTTTACTTTGGCTGGATCAGACGTATACAAATTTTTGTTGTCTAAGTAGTGTAAAAAATTGTTTTTGTTTTGCGATTAGTTGTTTAGTTCACGGAATAAATGGGCTAAGAATTGTCTGCTCATCCCGCACCGTATTCTGGTTGTCAGTTTTTGGTTGCGAGGAATTCAAGAAGCTGCTTTATGTTTGCCGTGTTCAGTTTAAATATCGGGATTTTAATAGTTTCGAAAGTGATGCAAAACGGAAGCAAAATTACCTTGGATCGTGAGCTCATTTGACAGAAATAACGCTCGTTACAGCAATCAGAGCTGATGGCAAAAACACAGCCGCCTAGATTACAATAAAGCTCTTTCCGGGTGTGTGTGTCTTTTTCCAGTTTACATGCTTCGAATAAACCATGATTACCATGATTAGAAAATGGGAGAGCCCTGAGGACGAGATCGAAGATTCTCATGGGGCAACCTTTTCTTTTGTCTGAAATTGTGTTTACATTTTAAAAAAACAGATCTCAGTAAAACCTGTATTCTAGAGATGCTCTCAGAGTTATTGTACCGAGAACTTTAATCTTAAAATACTATCTATAGAGTTAGTTCACTTCTGGTCCCTCTCTCTGCGTGACAGAGGGAAGGAGAGGAGGAGGAGAGAGAGAGAGAGAGGCCAGAACTGGACTTCTATAGAGCTGTCAAGTCTAAGATCCCTTCCGTTTCATTCTGGGAGTTTTCTCGGATCCGCCCATGATTAATTCTTGCCACATTTGTTCTTTTCGCAATGTGTTTGAGACACGATGACGCAACTTGTAAGGTTGAAATTACGTCTTTGGTTATTTTTGACGTATCATGGAAATTTTCCCGAGGCAATTCACTTTGGGAAAATGAGTCACACACAAAGAGTTACTTCCATGTGGGCAACAGCCATTTGCCCACTGATGCATGGGTAAGACCGCACCTATTGTTATAAAAACATCTTTGCCATTGTGTATGTCATTTGTTAGTGCGTCACCCCGTCATGTTCTTTTTCAAACGTTGCTCCTAATTTTTATTGCACACATTTTCAATAAATTCTGCTGTGAAAGCAATAAGATATAATCCAACAATACTTCACATCATAGTTGAAAAAATAAAATAACTTAAACTTACTTTGTTTACCATTTACGCTCAGAATATGTAAAAGTAACAAGAAAACTGTTCATCTAACGAACTTTAACCTCACAGGAAATGGGATTTAGCGGGAGGAAAGTGCGCGCGTATATGTTAAATAATAAATCTAATATAAATTTCTTATTTTTCTTATATAAAAATAATACATTCAGTTCTCACACATCATTTAGTGTATAACACAAAACGATATCCATAAAGTTCCCGGATCTATTAACAACAACAACTATCAGCTAAGGGCAAGGTTTATGCGGCTTTTTTGTGCTCTGTCGCACTTGTTTGAAGGCATATCTTTGAGGGCTCTATCTGATTAGATCCTTCTGCTACTTAAGCATTACAAATTTATGAAAAAAAGGCATTTTTAAGAATAATTAAGGACTGAATTGAAAAGTAAACGCTTAACAAACATAGTTGTCAGGCCCACAGATCTGTTCCTTTAAGCAATTCTTGAGGATTAAAAGCCACAGGGTTCGTACAGATCTTTGGATCCAAAATTCAAGACTTTTTCCAGACAATAATTTTTTTCCAGACTCACGGTTATGAAATAGGTGATCAATAGACACCTTACATGTAAAAAACGCAGGAACAAAGCTGTTTTCGTAGTGCGATGCAAACATATGGTTTGACCAAGACGAAGAATAAAATCACTTAAGCACTTACTATAGCTTTGGAAAAAAAAAAGAAAAAACTCAAGGCTTTTTACCATTTTTTCCAGACTTTGTCTCTATTCTCCAGACTTTCTCTAGGTCTTGAAAATTGTTGGCAAATTTTCAAGATTTTTTAAAGAATTCAAGACTCTGTACGAAGCCTGACGCCACCTCAAAATGCAAAATTTAGGCTCGGGTGATAAGAGTGTTAGAGCCGACATTTAATACCACATTGAACGAATGGTATATCAGATTGAAATTTACTGTGCTGTATACTTTCAATATTCAGAAGTTAGGTTTTCGCACAACAACTCAAGAACGCTACGCATATTCTAATGAAGAAATATAGCATAGATCTGTCTACCTGGGCTAACAACGTTGGAAGAAGAGAAGCACTGGAAAACCCTCACAGCTTAATTAGATACGTAACCTTAACTGACTGTTTAGAAATCTACCAGTGGCTTCACAGCGTTGGTATCCAACGGTCAAGGAAAAGAACACCTTGTATTAAACTTGCCTCCAGGCGTTCCTCTAGTTTCTCGACCGGAGTCGACTGGAAACAAGTCAATACCCCACGCTTCGCGCGAAAATTTTATTTTCGATTCCTTTTTTGGGGCCACGTCAATGATTACTCGAAAACTAAACCGTCCAAGAATTGTCAGCTATACCTATTAATTTAAGAAAGGAGAACTTCATTCTCTTTATTCAAAGAAAAATGAGTCGGTAACTGAAATTTCATTGCTAGTCAAATTCTGATTTTAGCTTCTAGCAAGCCTGTGCGTGGACCTCTCCGATGTCCATTAAGCAGATAACGTTGCAAATTTCCGGATTTAGCAAAGTCAACGAGGCGAGAGAGGCAAATCTAAAATTCAAATGACCATACAACTGATCTAAAAACTCAACTGACCAATGGCGCAGCGGCAAATTGAGCACTACAAGTCGCATTCAATCCTTTTCGCGCGCTTTTGCGTTCTCAATTGACGTTGCGTTTTCTCTGCTAAATGCGCCAACCACCGCAGGCACAAGCTTATAATCCAGGGTATATAAAAAAAAAAAACCTTCTTTACATCTCGCTACACCTTAAGGTTACTTAATGAGTTTTAAAAATTTGAATAATATTTGCAGTATATTTTATATAAATAGAAATTCTTCATACAAAAAAGAACACCCTCAGTTTCGCGAATAATGCATTAATTAGTACGCCGCTTTTAAAGGCGCATTCAGAGATATCACGTAATCTTCCGTGACGAGTGTTGTGATGTGATTTTTGTCACGAGCCCAAAAGACGTTTAGGGATCGTTATCACCGTCATCTGGAAAAGCGCTTCTAGTGCCTTGAACAATAATTTTACTTTCCCTTTTTAACATTCATTTCATATATTTCAATTCAAAACTTGTTCCTTTCGAAAAATGTAAAAGACAATAGGGACGTTGATTAAGGAAAAAGAAAACATCGCTGAGTGCAGTACTGAATTATGTAAATAAAAGAAGAGCAGACTTCTTAAGCGATTTAGAGAGCGCTTAAAAATCGAGGCCAACGTGATCCCCCTTAACGGAATACCCCACTATTTGCGCCAATCCGTACGCATGCATTAGGGACTTTAAGATACACCGTTTCCGCCTACGAGTCGGGTAGGCGAACATGTTTGCCAAGCAGTTTATACAAAAGGCGACCATAACTTCCCAGATGTGATAATGGCATCACCGTTCTGCCCCGTAACCTAGCCGTTACTCCGGGATAAGAGGCAGTCTACCCGTATTTACGGGCTACGAGTACGGGTAGCTTGTCCGTTCCCGTGCACGGAAACGGTGCGTACTAAGGTCTCTATTATTTCACGACAGAGCACGCTCGGGACCTCTTGCGCGTTTTGGTAATATGATGGACTGGACTATTTTTGACCAGTCAGATATTAACAGCAGTACCCAAATGAGTCTGTATTACGTGGTTCAGCTCAACAAGACCAGATTTTCATCCTGGAGCCTCTATCTCTCTTGTAAAGTCGTGGTCACTGCAGAGTGTCATACTTTCAGACTATTAATAGATTCATTTCTCGCGCCAAAAAAAACTCCCAGCCAATAAGAGCAGAGTAGGATTTTAAGCAGCATTTGGTAAGAGTAAAGAAGTGTAAAAGTTTTATAAATTGAAAGTCTGTGATACGGAGAGCGCTCCAGATGACAAACTCCTGACAACATGAATTCTAATCTTTGTAGAGTTTTCAGTAGCAATCCAATACTACATCAAATCCATGCTACGTCCGTTGTTTTGGACACTTTTTTCTCTGTCCTTCGCGGCGTTACTATCTCGTAATGTGGTGCGCCGTCTTCGTCTTCTCCTTCCGCCGTTCCATTAGAATCGATTACCGCAGATGAAGCGCACGCAAGCGTGCTACTGCTGTCCACGTGCGCAGGTTCCGCTCGACCACTACTGCTCGATTTGGGCCTAGGCCCCTCATCTACAATCCCTGTATAATTACCATCAACAGTAGGAACCTCGTGTTTGACTTCAACAAGTTCGTAGTAGCCGGAAGCGGCCGATAATCTTTTGTCCTCATCTGCACCAGTATCGGGAACAGATAAGTCGTTATTTAAAAGAGGCGTATTATCACTTGAACTCGGCGCAACTTCATCGTACAGGCTGTCTTCAGCACCTGTTGACGACCATAGAGGTATGAGTTTCATTGTGTGTGCTCGCATTAGAAGTAGACGGTTATACGAGTAAAGAAGAGCTACATTGATTTTACTTGTGGAATACGGTTGCCAGAAATGAGACTGGAATAACAGGAAGTTTAAGCAATAGCGACGTCAACCAGAACAGCAAAAAACAATTGGTTTAAGTCCTAAGCACGCGATTCCGACATTTATTTTTTAGCCAGAATCGTATGAACGGAGCCTTTAACTAAGCTGGAAAGAAGTTTCAAAAAATGGGGTTTCGGTGAGCAAATTCACTGGTTTCGGGAAGACGAACAGACCTATTCGAGTCAAAAAAAATGTACGGTTTCAAAAATATCCTGATTCGAGTGGACGTAACCTTAGATCAGCAAAACAACAACACTGCACGTGCATAACGTGCACGTGAAAAAAATATTTCTTTGCCAGCATTCCACGAGTACAAAGCGAATCTTCCTAATTTCACCTTTATAGAGCACTTGAAAACAAACGGACGATTCAATTTTTTTTTTCATTTGTTTTTTCTTGCCCGCGTGTTGGAGTTCCACTGAAGTCGACGGAAAGCCAAAGGGAAAAAAAACTCAGTGGCGAGGACAGATCGAGGCCCACCGAGCCTGGAACCTCGAACTTGACAACGAACCCAGAGTAACCATATAGCAGTGGTGGATCCAGAGGAAGGGCCAGGGTCTCCTCCTCCAACCCCCCTTTTTTTTGGACCAAACTGAGACCCGATCAATCTCAGGGCTCAGGGTCTGGATGACTTCCCCTCCCCTCCCCCCTTATCTGAAGGTCTAGATCCACCACTGAATACACATGTAATAACGGTATAACAAGTCATGAAAGAATCAAATCAGGTCGTTTATTTACTCACTTACCTTCAACTGTTCCCATCTCGATCTGAATTTGCCTAGATGAAATATAAACTGGGGGGAGGGGAGGGGGATTGTCATCGCTCCATTCCTCTCCAGTGTGATTCTCTGCAAGTCTCTTCTTTTTCTTACTGAGATCCACTTTAGCGTAAAGATAATCCACTAACGCATTTGAAACCTTGCCTTCTGAGGATGCATCCACGCCTTGTCTCTCCCGCACCACGTCGATTGTGTGACACCGTCTGATAAACTCGTTACTAGGTTTCTGAAGGCCAGCTGTATCGCTCTTACAGCGACTGCGAATCGACCCCTCGTCAATGCTTACTACTAATTGATCGGGGCTTGTCACTTCAATTTCCGGCTTTGTATCGACTTCCTCGTAGAGTTCTAAGTTCTCCAAAGCTTCCATTTCTTTAAGCTTTTTAATTCGCGAATAAGGGTCCTCAGGATCCTCGTCTTCGTCCTTCTCGCTGTTCTCTTTCTTATTGTTTTCCACTTCGTCGTACAGATCTTCAGCCTGGCTTGTTTCCTCGACGATTTCGTAAATGTCACTACCCCTCCAACTATCGGGGCGCTCTACGTTGATCGATTCGACAGCGGAACGAACAGTGCGGGGCTTTTCGACTTCAATCCGAACAGCATCGTATTTTTCATCGGTTGCAAGGTCGATATTCTCCACAGATCTCGTTTTTCGTTTTTCTACTATTTCATAGTTGTTATCTTCTTCCAACCCAGTACCATCCGGGGCAGAACTCTGCCTTTCGGGGAGGGGTCGATCTGGAAGGGTATGCCCATGTGAGCCCGGTGGGGCAGGTGGTAGTGGTGGTGTCGGAAGTCCTCGTGAGTGCCGATCCAGTGTTGGTGTCTTCTCTCGTGGTCTCTCCCTTCGGTGTTCATCTGAAGGTTTTCTTTCTTCGCTTTCTGAGGAACTTTTTCTTTCGTTAGGTTTCCCTGCTTTGCCCTTAAATTCTTTAGAACCTTTCTTTGATCGTCTATCGTGATGCTTTTGTTCTTCCTCTGCTCTTAAAACTGTATCTGAAGTCCTCTTGGTATCAGTGCTGGCTGCACTTTTTTTGGATGAGCGAGTGCGTTTCCAAAATCTGCCTTTATGCTCTTCATGATCATGTTCGTCTTTGCTACTTCGTTTTTTCTTTTCATCTTCGGTCATGTGATTCACAGCCGTCGACGACACGTGTTGCACACTACTTTGCAAACTAGGCGGTATCCCTAGCGCAGCACCTGGCACGTGCTGCACGCTACCTTGCGCGTGTTGTTCACTACTTGACACGTGCTGTGCATTACTTTGCACGTTCTGTTCACTACTTGACACGTGGCTTTCGCAACTTTGAACGTTGTGTTCACTTCTTTGCACTTGGTGCTCGTTATTTGGTACATGGTTCACGCCCTCGAACGTCTCATCTTCCACGCTTTGCGGTGCTACGTGCTGAACGCTTACTGTCAGCTCGTCATACAGCGCAACGTGGTTTTCTACGTTGAGAGATTCAGTTCTTTCTGCCCTTTCAACAACTACGTCATCCTTTGTCTCCAAGACTATTTCTTGTTGAACTTTTTGCTCTCGTGGCATTGACTACAAAAGAAAAGAGAAACCAACACAAATTACCGTCAGTCGATGTTAGACTGTATCACAAGCACCTTTCTTTTTAAACATAAAGTAAAATCGTAAAATTCGCCACACAGTACTTTAAGTCCATGATACTAAGCCATAAGAAATCATTAGAGTTAAAAAATAAACAGCTATTTAAAATGGTCTATTCTGTTATCGACCATAGAAATGAAGCGGTCAAAATGTTCAAAACTTTACAGTGAAACCACCCGCCTACGGCTCGCGTTTCCACTTGAGTTTTGAACATTCTGACGCCATTTCTATGGTCGATAAGGGTACAGTCCATGGAAAATTTTTGTCTTTTTGTTGTTGTTGTTTTTAAATAACATTGATAGTTTTTGGCGTCCACTTACGTTGAATTTATTGGAAAGTCGCACGCCCTTGAAGGAGAAAATCAAATTGCGCTACCATCACGTTATTTCCATGGTCTGTAGACTTATTGACCATAGTTCTCGGCCAATCAACACGCGAGAAATCAAACTATTATTGCAAAAACTAAATTTGCTGTAAGAAAACCTCGACCTTAACCAACGTCTTAAAACGTTTATTCACTGTGGCTCGCCCCGGCGTCGACGATGTACAGAAGGATGGGTAGGAAGGCATTTTTTACCCACCCCAACAACTTTTTTAGGCCCTAATGTAAGCTATATTTGTAGGTAAGTTTTGGTGTTAGACTGTGCAAGCCATAAATTCAGAAACAAATTCCTCTTTTAAGAAAGATTAGATTTTCTCCACGAATTTGGAAGGAAGAATGACGTACCATGTCACCGTCATTACTCCTTGTCCTCCTTGAGTGATGGGGTCTACCAACAGATACGGAGACTGACAAAAAACTGAACAACCTCATTTTCAAACATTTTTTCTCACCTGATGAAAATCTTTTGATAAGCAAAGGTTGCTACTCTACTTTTCCCTCACGTTATTTTTTTTTTCATTAGCTTATCCTACTTTTCATTTGTATGTTACACATTCTACAATAGAGTACCGAAGTGATGACGTCATAAAAATGAAATTTGTGAAATTATGGGATTTGTTATGATATTCTGAAAGAACAACGTCCAAGACACCTACTCGCCAAAAATTAGCAATAAGGGGCAAATTGTCTCTGAGATATTAGCCCAGTTATGCTGTGACGACTCCATACAAATCCTTCTAAATTTGGCTTGGTTCATAAGATTAGGAACCAGGTAAGATTTAGAAGGATTTGTATGGAGTCATCGGAGCATAACTGGGTTAATATCTCAGAGACAATCTGCTCCAAATTGCTAATTTTTGGCGAGTAGGCGTCTTGGACGTTGTTCTTTCGGAATATCTTAACAAATCCCATAATTTCACAAATTTCATTTTCTATGACGTCATACTTCGGTACTCTATACCTACCTCATAATGACTTGGCAAGCGTTCATGATAGGATAATATTTGAGCTCTTTTCTCTGATCTATAGTCAATAAGAAAACAATTCCAAGAAATAAGGTACCAGTGAAAAAAAAAAACACAATAAAAAGAAGATCACTTGACATTTTTAAAACGTATGGACAGTGGTGGTAAAAATAAGTACTAGTGACAAGTGCCATAGACAAACATCGGATTTTATTGTTATGTTTTATAGGTCCAAGTAGTGAAGCAAGGGTACTCACTCGGATAGGTTATCCCGGTCTTTGTTACAAACAGAGCACAGGCTTCCAGCTATAACAAGAAGCACAACTCCTGCAATCAACATGATGACTGTTTGCAGCGGTTGTAGGCCTTTATTGGGACTCCTGTGCAAGTACAGGTCATTACCACCCACACTCAACAGTCTTCTTTGCAGAGGTAACAGCTCTAAAAAGAAAACAATCAGTTACAGTATGTTGCCCAGTATCCGGATGGTACCAGTATCCGGACACTTGAAACAAAAACTCAGTTTTTGAGGTGCCCTTTTCAGTTCTCGGCAAACAAAGTATTTTGAATGAAAGCTGAACATTTCAGCTTTAAGATGAAAGTTTTGGCAATTTGAAAGCTTGCGCAACAGTCGCAGAAGACGCCGTTCTGTTCAGGTGAGTAAACTTTTCATGGCTAATATTTACGCTGTTTACTGCGCAGTAAAATTAGTGCTGCTTAGAAAAGGGAGGGTAATGTGTGATATTTTCAAAGAAACTGTTTTATTTTTAAAGTGAAGATACTTAAGGAAGTCAGGTTCTCAGAAAGTTTATTAATTCTTCTTGAAATTCGATTTGTTTGGAATAACGGAAGCTAGAAACATTCACTAAGTATTGATGTCAGGTGCCCAGTATCCGGACAGTTTTTTCTTTGCTGTACAGAATTGATGAATTAGCTGTGTACATTATCCGGATAAGATTTATTTCATATCAGTAACTATAATTTATTAAAGCTTAGGATATATGATATAGTCGTAAAATGTAATTCTACTCAACTCCGTATGGAAATTTTCTCCACTCATTTAGAGGCGACTTGATTTCGTGTGCATGGCTTGTTTCGCCTGACTGCATTTTCTATATATAACCGAAAACGTCTGAGTTGAACCTGGAATTCTCATACTTTCCCCAGTTGTGACTGCTAGAATGGGGTTGCAACGGTCTGAAAAATGACACAGAAGGATTGAGGGATGTGAAAGAAGGAGGAATTAGTGCTAGAAAAGCAGGCTTATTGTGGGGACTGAGCATGAACAAATCAACACTGCAGGTCAGACTAAATGGGAGAGTGACCTTTGACCGTCGGATTGAGGTCCCCTTCCCAAGCTTTTTTTAAATAAAAAATGAAGAAAAAAAGTCGTTTGCAGATTGGCTAATTAAGCTTGCAAACTGCGGCTTCGGCACGTCCATGGATTACTTCCTTAAATCAGTGAAAAAGTTCCTAGACAAGGAAGTGAGAATTATACCCACTTTTAAAACAGCCGTTCGCGTTCCCCACCATACCCCAGTCATTTGTTATGTTTTATTTCACGATGCTAGGTTATATTTTTGGAATTGATTGCCAGACTACTTTGCAGGTGCAAGAGAGGCTTATAAGTCGCTTGTCTGCCAAAATTTATGTACAATTACGTTGTTGTTGTTGTGTCCGGATACCTGGCCAGCTGTCCGGATACTGGGCAACATAGGAGCTCTGCAAAAATATTAATTTCGCGATAGAAACAAAGGCAAAAAAGTTAAACTGTCGTCATATTAAGGACTAAATAGATTTTCTCGGGGCCAAATTTCAGAGCTCTTGCGATTAACAAAGGAAAGTTATTGCAATCTTAAACTGAAGTGTCCGGATACTGGGCAACATACTGTATCAAAAATGGGCATGTGTTATGTTCTCTGTTAAAAACTCAGGGTTGTAGCTAGGTTTTCTGTATGGGCAGGACATTATCGCTAGTGCCAAAGCCATGCATGAGCCTTGTAGAGGGGGAGGGTCTTTCTCCCAGAAAATTTTCAAATTTGGAGGCTCCGAAATGCTATTTTCAGCGCTTGTCATGAGATATGTCTCTAAAAAATCAACCTTGAATACGAAAATGGCAAACAATTGCAAGTCACTACAATCAAAATAACTGAGTTAAAAGAAAACAAATCAATCCACAGACTTGATTTGTCTGGCTCAACAGGTCCAGGCCTCCTCCTCCCCCCCCCCCCGCTAGCTACAGCTCTGAAACTTAGTCCCAATTAATTTCATAGCTGCACAGAAATTCAAAGCGCAGGTGACACATACAGTATTGAAGGCATCAGATGTAGTTCTGAAAAAAGCGAAAATTAAATGGCGCCTGGCATGGCACAAACAACGTTGTATCTGACTATTAATTTGTGAGGCAAATGTCATGTTATTTGGGTCTGTCTTGAATGTGAATATTATTATAGCTTCAAAGGTCTCTTTCTCAGTGTATGTGTACTCTGATCATAGGCTAAGTCAGCCTTGTGTTGTTTGGTAGGTTGCCAATAAAGTCAGTTTTAAGCTAATATATATTTGTACTAGTCCAAAAGTCATATCAACCAGCTGCAAAAACTTTTTAATGCGCAGGATTGATTGTACAGTTCTAAATTCTCTAATTTGAAGACTTCAAAAAACTTCACTTGCCCGTCGTGTAAGTTGACAACAAAATTCACTAGCTCGATGGCAAAATCTGGGCCATCCGCATGTTTATCAGACATGACTCTCTTTGTACCCTGTTTAGTGAATGAAAACAGAAAAAATCTGTCATAGGAGAGGGGTAGCTTGGTAATTTTGAGCCCACCCAGGCGAAAAAACAGTTATGGAAGTTCAGACTCCCCCGTGGAAGGGGGGAGGGGTGCTCGCTATGATGACCTATAAAGAGAGGCTCCACACAAAAGAGGTACTTTTCAAACCTCAGATGCATCCTGTTAGGGTAGGGGTTCAAGAGAACTGACCCATCTTATCCAGCTACCTGCCAGTAGTCAGCACTTCATGAGAAGATCACCTTCTATTTTAGGAAGGTATGTGGAAGATGTACTATTTTTTAGTGGTGGGTAAATAAGGATATGCACATAAAAGATACTGAGATCCCTTGATCAGATAGTTTGTTTTGATTTTTTTTTTCTTTTTACAGTCTGCTTTACCAAATCTTAGAATCTCCTGTAATCTTGTATATTTATGGATTTTATTTAGTTTTTCTCATGGATTCCTGGATAGGACCTTGCTGATCATTATTTTTTCTCAAAACCTATGGCAAATAACATGACAATTCTGAGAGGTTATAATGTTTTTTTTTTGTTATTTTAGCCTAGTTATTTTAAGCAGTTTTCTTACTTATGAAAGTACGATGTAACATTATTTTTGCTTGATGCGTGATGCATTTGATAAAAAGTTATATGGGGATGTATCAGAGAGAGACGCTCTAAAAAATCATTTTTGCACAATTCAAAAATTAAACACTTTCATTTTCCTATAACTACCAAAATAAGCTGTTTAAATATTTCTTGAAAACTTACCTTTTCTTTCTTGAAACTGAATGCAACGTATTAACTTCCGGTTGGGACATGAAATCAGCATGATCAGATTCACGCGTGATCGATGGTCGAACCAGGCTTGATGTTCTCTGTTGATATAGATCTGGGAATAAAAAAAATTGAAATATGATCTGTATGCTACAGCACTCCCGACACGACAGAATACTTAAGTACATACTTCTATCACAAACAAAAATGCAAAGAGACAATCGAATAAAACAATGGAATGCATTTTTTCCCGGAATTTTTCTCCATGGGCGAGTTAATTCAATTAAAAGTGATAGTAGTTAATCGCGATTAACTCGGTTAGATGCAGTGTCACTGAAAGACATTTTTTGTGAGACCACGACAAGGAAGGAAAGAAGGAATCATGCATCTGACTTTCATTACCTTATAGAATTCCGGATTCTCAATTTTCAAGCGAGCGTCGATTTTGTGGAACGATCTTTTATCTCTTCCATGTAATAATATCCCTTTCGAACCATCAATCCAGACATGGAGATTGCAGTAACTGGTATTAGCGATCAAAGATGTCTCATCGCTGAAAAGAACTTCATAAGCAATGTATTCACTGTGTATTTCCTGTAGTCCGGGCGACGATCCAAAATCGAAGCACAGATTACTTCCGCCCATGAACAGTCTCGAAGGCATTCCAAAAACATCTTTCATTTGTCCACTTTCAATCAAGAAAGCAATCCCCAAAATCAACCAGTGAAAGTGGCGGAAGGTCATACTTGAGTATATTAATTTAAAGTTGGCTTAACGCAGGCGATGTTAAATATATCGGCCTTGCTTTATGCGAGTAATCCGCGTTACAAATTTGGTCAGCCATCTTTTTGTTTTGAACTTGTGATGGGTGGTACGGTAGACAAGACCTGGTAACTAGTCGGCACTCCTAGTACCCATGAGATTTTGCGAGCATGTAGCACATGCTTAAAAACTTTTCAAAATGTCGTCGGCTCCTAGTTCTGCCGAGCTTCTTCATGTTGGAGGTGAAAGGACCACCGGGGAAAACATACGGATGCAAAATGGTAAGTTAAAGTGAAACTTATGGCGTGTGTCGCTTCCCTGGCTAATTGTTTTGCGGTAATTTACCCAGTTACTGCAGTAACAGCCATTGCAAACATTGTCAAGAGTTCTCTTGGTCCTGTTGGATTGGACAAAATGTTAGTGGATGACATTGGGGTAAGCTATCCTTTCATTTGAGTTTGTTCTGTAGACTTCTCTACCGTTAAATGTACATATCAAACTCGGGTTTAGTTAGGGATTGTACTTGATTTCCCTACAGAGTGGTTGAATACCGGTACTGATTTCAACGTTAATTTTAACATTGATTTTAGCTCAAATGTAGATAAGTTGGGTACAGTACAGTTTATACCAAACTTGCCTACAACCATGTAAACTGCAAATTCTTCATTAAGCCTGTGGAGTAACTGCAGAGTACCCGGCCACTTCAAATATTTTACAAACACTTCGAAAAACAAGGCATAAGATAATACACATTGCAGCCAGGAGAGCCTTTCTTTCACTTGCTTGATGCACTCGAGAAAGACTCTGCATGAATCAAATAAGATCTTTGTTCAGCATGTGCAGCATTTAGCCTGCGAAACGCAGTCGTATTTCCGGTCATCGCCTCTGAAAAGTAACATTTGGCAGAGGGAGAGAAGCAACAACCGGAAATACGTCTACACTTCACAGGCTAATGCGGCATGTTGCTAGGATATAGTTTTGAACCCAGGNTCTTTCACTTGCTTGATGCACTCGAGAAAGACTCTGCATGAATCAAATAAGATCTTTGTTCAGCATGTGCAGCATTTAGCCTGCGAAACGCAGTCGTATTTCCGGTCATCGCCTCTGAAAAGTAACATTTGGCAGAGGGAGAGAAGCAACAACCGGAAATACGTCTACACTTCACAGGCTAATGCGGCATGTTGCTAGGATATAGTTTTGAACCCAGGTCTAATAGCCGAACACCTGATACAGTGGGCTTGGCTATGATCATCGGTTTATCAATCAATGGATACTTGCAATCGAATAAACCTGTTTGACGAAAATGAACAAATTGAATAAAACAGAAGTTTGAGCTGCAGCGACCTTAAAGGTTTGATGTGATTCAGGCAAAGCTGCCTTTTCTCCTCCTCATTCATAAAGACTAAAAGAGGCTCTGCTGGTAGGATGAAGATAATGGAGATGTTCATATTTAATGAGATGTAAATGAAGTGGCCGGATATTTAACAATTAATGAATGAGGCTGATTATCTTGTGAAGAATTATGGAGATCGAGGAGGGCGTTATCGGCTGAGGTGGATAACACCCTCTGAGATCTCCATAATTCTTCATACGATACGAAAGTCGAATTCAGTAATTGTGTTATTATTCTTTCAAAATGGTTCCTGGTTTACAAATGTAGCTAAAACATGCTTGCCTCCATCAATGTTAAGTTCATCTTTGATGGTGCATATTTAGGATTGTTCAGCTCCGCAAATATTCTCCAAATAGCAGATGTCACCCTTAGAGTTGTCTTCTTGCTGTTCTTGTTATGTTTTTAGCTATTATTTCGCCTAGTTCTTACCCCTGAAACAAGTGAAATGTCCACCATTTTCACAACCAAAACAGTTCAACCTCGTCTCTAGGTCTTCTCGGTTAACGGTGCATTAACCTGCAAGAAGGCTGCACTTTTGACGCAATTGGTTCATTAAACACAAAATTCTTCCAGATTTGGTTATCAGTAGCTGGTTGTGGCGAATTATGTGTGTGCTTTTAGCCAGTCAGAATCGGGGAAATATTTTGAATAAATAGTAATGTGCAGTTAAGACAAGTCTGGTTTCTATATAATTGTCTGGATTACCTCAGTTGTCCCTAATTTTTTGCAACAGTTAGAACAATCAAGGTAATCTGTATTATTATATAGAATCCAGCCTACATAAAGACCTTAATGGTATCCAGACCAGGTGTTAGCAATCACCCCTTTTGTCAAGTTGACCTCACATTGCATAGGCGGTGTTTGTAATATGTATCTCACAAATGCCTCACAAAACCAGGCTTTGATTGCGCTTTTTAAAAAATGCCTCAATGGGCAGGATTAAGAAGTGGTTGAGTGACAGACCTTGATATCCTGTCGTAAAGATCTCTACTTCCTTCTTTCTTTCCTTCTTCTTCTTCATTTTTGCCTTGTTCAATTGTCTTGTTCTACTCTTTGGCCGCTATTGCAAAGCATATGTAGCATTTTTTTTGCCCGCCAGATAAAAAAGAAAATGGCAAGTTTGCATGCAAGCTGAACTTGGTTTTAACAGCCAAAATACAGAGCTGAAATCTGTCTGTGATCTATTCGAATGGAAAGCACCTTGTCAATTGTACGTTTGCCTTGGTGTAAAATGAATTCAAAGATAGATGTTTGGCAAATAAACAAAGTTTTGAGGGGGAAAAGCTAACTGAATTGCATCTCCAACACACATAGCTGATAGAAGCAACCTTTTCTGTGGAGCAAGATGTGGTACAAATGTTCTTTATAAGAACAGGAACGGATAAGAACAAAATTGCAAAATCCACTAGTCCTGGGCTATTGCACATGAATCTTTTTGCAGGCTGATTGGAAACATGTTTTGTTTTTTAGGATGTTACAGTCACCAATGATGGTGCAACAATACTAAAGTTGCTGGAAGTTGAACATCCTGCAGCTAAGGTTCTCTGTGAGCTCGCTGATCTTCAGGATCAAGAGGTTGGAGATGGTACAACCTCTGTTGTTATACTTGTTGCAGAACTCCTGAGAGGTGCTAATGAACTTGTGAGACAGAAAATTCACCCGACGTCTATCATAAGTGGCTACAGATTAGCTTGCAAGTAAGTAAAGGCACCAGTTTGCATGGGTAAGTTGAGTTTACTAAAGATTTTTGTCATCATCACAAACTGAATCATGCAAACTAGAAATTGCTCTCAGACTTACTTTTTGCTGACTATTAATTTCATTAATTAATTTCAAAATAATTAGCTGATTAATAGGTGCAGTTTCACCCATAATATATTTTAATGAGGTTAATGAAGCCGTGGTAAATTTTAACATGGCTTTAGTTTACCATGGTAATATATGGTTACACATGAATTAATATTCCCAAGTTGTCATTTACCATGGTAAAAGTGTCCCCGTGTTACTGCACCTAATAATGACTGTCTTAAATATCTGGTCTGTTTAGTCATCGTGTCTCGACTCGGGAAGGATTTTGTCAGATATAGATAAACGTTAGTAGACAGCTATATTGTCCAATGACAGACTATTATTATTTGGAGGTCGACATATGGAGCGTTTTCACATGGTGTCATGGTGGCAGTGTTCCAAAAACTGAATGGCCACGTTGGTGTATCAACTCCAACTCCTGTGGGAGTTGAATTCTTTTCTTATGCAAATGCTTTCTTTTGTTCCAATAAATTTGCATAGAGGCTGGCCAGGTGAGTGAAAACATTTGTATAATAACAAGGGTAGCTAGTACTAAAGGCATGAGATCAACTGTAAATTATTTCTGATTTTACTGAGAAGGTCGATAAATGATAGGATCCTAACCCAGAATAAGCAAAGATGCAATGTTTTGATTTGATCTTTCTTATTCTTTAGAGAGGCATGCAAATATATCCAAGAGCACTTGACTATCAATGTTGATGAGCTGGGCAAAGAAAGTGTTGTAAATGTAGCAAAGACATCTCTGTCGTCAAAACTGATTAGTCAGGCATCTGACTTCTTTAGCGAGATGATTGTCAATGCCGTCATGGCAGTCAAACGAGCTGGGAACAAAGGAGAAGCTAAATATCCAATCAAGGCTATTAATGTGCTCAAGGCACATGGAGGAAGTGCTAAGGAAAGTGTTCTCGTAGATGGCTATGCTCTTAACTGCACCATAGCTTCACAAGGTATGGACATGGTAATTTAAGGGTTGTTTGAATTTTTTTTCTTTTCAAAGAAGAGACTATAAAGGGCTTAACTTAACTTTATGTGAGAGTCAGGTCATAGCGCTCAATATGGTGTGCACTCATTGTTTAGAACAATGGCTGAACCTCCATTTGAGAGTACCTTTATAAGTTGGGATCATGTAGTCTACAAACTGCTATAAAGTCAGTTTTCCTACTCCAAGCACTATAGCTAGAGCCTTGTATAAGCAACTACCAAGTCTTAAAGGCGGGTTTGATAGATTGACTCCAGAATAAGAATGAATAGCATAAACTCTGGAAATCACTTGTTGTAACATTGCAACATCAAGAAATCTTCTGGAAATAAAATATTAAGATGCATGTAGCATTCAAATGGTTCCAAACATCATGCTACATGTAGAAGAGATTGCAACAAAGTTTTTGTTTCCATCTGGAATATCTTCCATTACGATCAATAGCACCCTTACTTTAGCAGTTTGGATGGTTGTGTATTGGGGATCAACTATATTAATTTTCCCTACTTATGAATGAAAAATTTCAGCAGTGTTTGAACGGAATGTGTATATTTTGCATTGATTTGGGGTCTCTCATGTCTTGTTTCTACAGCGATGCCTAAGCGAATAGAAAATGCAAAAATTGCCTGTCTGGATTTTAGCTTACAAAAAGCTAAGATGCATCTAGGAGTGAGTGTTGTTGTAGAGGATCCAGAGAAGCTAGAGGCCATTAGACAGAGGTAATTGTCAGTGGTGTAACGATTAATTGAATTCTCGATTAATTGCGATTGTAGCCGTTCGGTTCGATTCACGATTCTTTGCTTACACGTTTCAATTTTGGTTTGATTTTTGCACACCTTTTCCAGGGTGCCCTCAGTGACTTATTATATTCTAAAATAAGAATCCAGAGTCCTTTGATGTGCGTTTTTGATTGACAAGCAAAGACAATAGCAGTTTGTGTGCCATTTTATGTTGCCTGGTGAAAATGCTGTTCTCTAACCTCCCCTTGAGAATTTCTAAATAATTAGGCAAACCATGTGTGACACGCTCTTTGTCAGGTTCTCTAACATGGCAACAAACCAAGCAACTGTGAATCCTCCTGTCCCTGTTACTATTCTCATATCGAGGGTTTAGGGTTGCATGTTGTTTACATTATGCATTATGTAATAAGAATTAAGAAACATTTACATAATTGAATCGAATTAATCGAAATGGAACAGCAATAATCAAAATTGAATTGAATTGCAAGGAATATGAATCGTTACACCTGTCAGAAATTCAAAGTACATGTAACAACAATATTATTAAAGCTTTGATTGATTGATCTGAAAAAATAAATTTAAATATATTATATGTTTAGAAAAAATATTTTGGATTAGTATCATATAAGGTTAATAGGTTTTATATTAACTCTTTCATTTACATTCAAGTCTCTTGTGGTTCTGTTTGTACACTCTTTTATAGACATATATAACTATAATCTTGAACTCCTTAGTTGCTGTTAGGAGATGTTGTTTGTGCTGTGTTTCACATCTATATGGTAAAGTGTCTTTGGAATGGCTTAAATTTTAGTCTGGAAACTATTTAACGAAACAATATATTTATATATTCAGAGAAGCAGATATTACCAAGGAGCGTATCCAGAAGATTTTAGGAGCAGGTGCAAATGTTGTGCTAGTGAGTGGTGGTATTGATGATCTCTGCCTTAAGTATTTTGTCGAGGCTGGTGCTATGGGTGTTAGAAGATGTAAAAAAGCCGACCTTAAGAGAATTTCGAGAGCCACTGGAGGTAAGTGGATATATCACAGTGCAAGTCCAGTACATTTTTTCTGCTTATGAAGGAAGGGATTATAGATTTACTTGTACTTCTTGTAGAATATAGTTTTGAACATTAGTAGACCTCTCTAGCTTGTATGTTTTGTTTTTCCGATACAGGTCATGTGATAATACTCTAGAGAACTGTTTCTTTCAATTTTCTTATTATTCACATGTATATCAGGGCTCAAAGTTAACGACTAACTGGTTGCATATGTGACTGGATTTTTGGTTGTGCACCTAAAAATTCATGTGTAATCGCACCTGTGTGCCATAAAACCCAAAGCACAGTGCGACTGACTTGCTTCCAACTATACTTACAAACTCGAACCAGATGAGACGATGTTTGTTTAATTGGTCTTTTCCGCCCCAATGGATTCCACAAACTCGAATGTTCTTTTTCATTTTGATGTTTTACTCCATCCCAGACTCTTCTGTTTTGTTATAAACACTGCTGAGACATGCAAATATATGCTACGAACGAAACACATGCTTTTTGTGCAATGGACGATCATGTCGAACGATCAGTTTTAAGGTCAATCAAAACAAAAACAGTGCGGATTAAGAGCCTTTTTTCCCAGGTAAGAAAGTTTTTAAGTCATATCCCAGGTACATGTAAGTCATTGCGCATTTAACAATTAATTCATTAAAGATTAACTTTCATTCTCGTTCGACACACTCGTTGTTGTCAGTTTTGAATTTTTTTCAAGTGTAAGTTTTCTTTAGTCACAGCTGTACTGTCAAAAAGAGAAACTAGTATTAAAAATCACAACAGTATTACTGCGTAGCAAATCGGCTGTGTTTTATCAATCACAGGACTAAAGTAAAAGCAACAAACTGAAGACAACAAATAAACATGGCACTGTTAAGCTTTTTACTTTTTCTTTTGAAATAGATGCTCCCAACATTATAAACTGTGCTCCAAAAATTTTCAGCTGTGTGCCTAAAATTTCGGCAGTGTGCCTAAAAATTTACATCTGGTAGCACAAGTTCTCCCAAACTCAAATTTAAACTTTGAGCCCTGCATATGTACACATAATTTATGAAAAGACAAAGACTCGACTTCCCCTGGGACCTCTGTTGAGAAAACAAGACATACAAGGTAAAGAAAAGTCTATTAAAATCAAATATTCAGGTCTCTTAGTTGATGTTGCAAAATAAGGTGCAACCAATATGGTGTTCTTCAATTACCAGGAAATATTTGCTGATATGCAGGCAGCACGAACAATATTATTGTATTATGTTATTGTTTACATCATAATCGACCATTATTAACACAGTGTTCATTTGAGACAGAAAGATATACAGTACTACTCAAAAGTGCATTTAAGTTACCACCCTCTTGTTTGAACTGCATCAAGCACCATGTAATGCAGGACACGATTCTCGTAGTGTGCAATGCCGTAAAAACTGTAATTGTTATGGCTAAAATTCTTGCATGACTATAACATGTAAACAACCACTGCAGCCTGTGGACTGTTGAGTATAATTTGCCTTGTGACGGATTGATGTGTCAGTATTTCACGTATTTGTATGTGTAAAACATCCTTTTTAATATGCTTCATAACCTCTCCAAATGTCTGGGATAATTCCTTCTCTGATGTTGTTTGTTGGTTGTTTTTCAGCCACAGTGGTATTAACATTGGCAAATCTTGAAGGCGAGGAGAGTTTTGATGCCAGTATGCTGGGTCAGGCTGATGAAGTAGTACAGGAGAGAATTTCTGATGATGAGCTCATTGTCATCAAACGGTAAGCACACCAATGAAGTCATCATTTTTTTTCCAGGTTTTTTATAAACTTTTATTATAATGAACTTAAACCTTGCATGGTGTTAGTTATACTAATTAATAATTTACAGAACAGTGCCAGGGGGTCTGAAGTGTCAATTTTTGATGACATCGGAGATGCCAACCTCGGGAGATCTAAAATCTAGAGATCATCCTCTCTTTTGCTCCCCTTCCAAGTGTATTTCAGATCTTAGCCCCATCTACTGAGGTTAATACCTACATGTATTTAAGTCTACCCATATGATAGATGTTTGATAGGTGCAGATTCAAACTTTGAACTTAATTAGATGGACTCAATTTGTTTTCACAACACACAATGGTCAACAATACTTACCTATCAATGTAAGTAATATTAATTTACGCAATAAATTCATTACATGAGGAATTGTTTAAAATGAAATTGCTCTGCAGTTGAAATTCCCATTAATTAATTTTTTGGGACTTGAACTAAATTTGTGGGTCGAACCCAAATTAGATATGTCATCTTTACTTTTCTTTTAAAGGGATTGCATGTGGGTTGGCTAAACGAAAAGTTTGATGTGTGACATTCGTAACCATTTGCCTCATTTTTAATTCCCAGGCCTAAATCTCGCTCTTCCTCTTCCATTATCCTGAGAGGTGCAAATGACTTCATGTTAGATGAAATGGAGCGTTCAATGCATGATGCTATATGTGTTGTAAAGAGAGTGTTGGAGTCTAAGACAGTGGTCCCTGGTGGCGGAGCTGTGGAAGCTGCACTGTCCATCTACCTTGAGAACTTTGCTACGTCATTGGTAAGGAAGACATTCTGCACTCTCCTAACTTTGATCACTAGCTGCTGTTCAGAAAAATGATCCTGCATTCACCTGGACTTGCAAAGCAGCAGAAATAAAACTTTGCACTAAAGCAGTTATTGTATAAATCTAGAGAACTAAAAATGAAAATCTGCAGAAAAATCTAGGATTTCATTTTAAGACTGAAAAACAAACTACCGTTTAATTAGTAGCTCTGAAGACATTTCATTTGAATAGTAACGCCTTTGGAATTCATCACAAGTCAGAAATTAACTCTAAATAAATAGAACCGTGTGAAATTACTGCCGAAGTGGTTTCACTGATTTGGAATATCAGATAACAGGATCTTATCCATAGACTCAAAGTTTGCACATAGTTAAAGTACTGCTTAATAGAGGTATCATTTGAATGCCACATCAGCATGCATACCCAAAAGTTAGAACTACCCTAAAATTCATCACAGCCTTACCAGGGCTGTTACTAAGAGCAGAGGGCTGGGGATTTCCTGGCCGGCAAGTATTAACACAACCCCCAACTACTTTGACATGAAACTACCTAACTTTTCAATTTCCCTCCTCCTTATTGCGTATACCCGGCAGCTTGGACGCTTTTTGACAGCCCTGCCTACTACAGTAGGTAGAAAAAAAATAATTTGTCTTTGGAAAAGAGCGTGCGCCATGGACTTGAAGATGTCTTTTTCAGTTTTCTTAAATCCATCAAGTCACGTGGTCTGCGTTGCTGACGTAATCTATCCCAGTTAGTAGTAGAACTTAAGCAGCAACGTTTTTAGCAACGCACGTCCACCGGAAGTGAGCTTTTTTCTCCTTTAATATGCCTTTACGCCACCAAATTTCTATGGCTAAGTGTCTTTACTCTTATAGAGACGATTTGCCTAAAAGTTTGTTCAAAATCACGTCTCAAGAGTGCGAAAAGTCCACTTCCGGTTGACGTGTTTTGCTCAAAAACGTCGCTGCTTAAACTCCCTAGTAACGTCTGCAAAGCAGCACTGAAATCGTTATTCTGGGCCCCAAACGGACTCAACGAATTACCGGAAATGCGTTTCGAATTTCCCTTCAACCTGATTGGCAAATAGTCCAAATTCGAATTAAAATTACCGCTGAATGCAACCATGAACGGCACATGTATAGAGGGTTAGCCTCGACGTAAAGTAAGACATTCAGAAATTCCGGCAAGTAAGTGTTTGAAATTTGAATATACACAATAGACAGAGTAATAAACAGGTCTTTTTCGTGTTGGAATTTGTGAATATATTACTTCAGATGGAGGCTAAGCCTGTAAAAAATGCGTCTTCACTTCTTTAATTCAGAGGTCATGGCGAACTCGAAACTGGACTATTGTCAGTAGCCTTTTTAACGGGCCAATAATGGCACGTATTCAAATCCTGGCTACGCAGGTAAGGGGTCAGAACTAGGATTCGACGCTGTTTCGCAGACGCACTCAACCAGAAGTTTAGTTCTGTCTGTAGTGCAGGCTAGAAATCGTGCAGAGTCAACTAAGTAGCTGTTGTTTGTGGTTAACAGGGATCTCGAGAACAGTTGGCCATTGCTGAGTTTGCAAATTCTCTCCTTGTTATTCCCAAAACGTTGGCGGTGAACGCAGCTCAAGATTCCGCTGACCTTGTTGCTAAACTACGCGCCTATCACAACACATCGCAGATCAACACAGAAAGGTCTTCCCTTAAATGGTATGGACTCTTAGAATAATAGAGAGCTTTGATTCTAGGATAAGGACGACTACGAGGACTACATTTTCTCAGTAAAGAGATTTAGAGGAAAAATAGGAATGAGCTGTTAAGGCTGTGCAAAACATGAGCTGTTAAGGCTGTTAAGGCTATGCAAAACAATTATTATTGATACAAAGGGCGTGAAACTACTTATATTTTTGTGGAAGTAATGAACATCTAATGATAAGTTAAGGAAAAACCTGATCACGTGGTACAAAGTCACGTGGTACAAAGTCACGTTTGCCGTTTACGGTAAAACATTAATGAGCTTAAGCAAAGATGTTTTTAAGTGACGCACGTAGACCGGAAGTGGTCTTTTTTCATTTTTTGACGGTGGTTTTACCCAAATTTTTGGACAAATCGTCCTTATTATAGTAAAGACACTTAGGAATACAAATTTGGTAGTGTCAAGGTGCTTTAAAATGAAAAAGACCTCACTTCCGGTTGACGGGCGTCGCTCAAAGCCGCCGTCATTCTACTACGGGTTCAAAGCGAGGCTTCATATGAAAATGATCTTTCATTCTCATGCAAATAAAACTCATTTTCATTTGAAAGGTTTTGTACGTAACCTCGTTTTAAAAGCTTGAGATCACTATTTTGGACAGCAAATACCTTTTATAGAAAATTTGCTTAACTTTGAATTACAAGACTCTTTTTTGTTTGGCAGGATTGGTTTAGATCTGATTGAGGGCAAGGTACGTGACAACAAGAAGGCAGGAGTTCTGGAGCCGTCAATCAGCAAAATCAAGTGTCTAAAATTTGCAACTGAAGCAGCAATAACAATTCTTCGCATAGATGACATGATCAAACTTCGGCCAGAGAAGAAAGAGGAAAGTGGTTATGGGGAGGCTGTCCGGAGAGGAGAGTTGTAAACAAATACGACATCGTTATGTACAACAAAAACTACTCCATGCCCAGTCATCTTTCACTGGAACAGCTGAACTGTGAATATTCCTAAATGATATATAGGCAAAAAAGAACTAAACTGTACTTCAACAAAATGAATGAGCGTGATTCTCAATTGCACTGTCACTGTTGTAGTGTGAAAGCGTCAGTTACAGAAAAAGGGCAATAAAATTTCAAGAGTAGTTGCCATTTTTGTGCAATGTAGTGCCAAGGTCAAACTTTGAATTCAAAGATATGTCAGATCGTAATTGTGCAAGGTGAAGACAAGCTAAGACCATGCTGAATTTCTTTTAACAGTGATAAAAATGATTTTATCCATAGACTTAAGAAGACGCCTTTAATAGGCGATATTGGGCTGCAGAGGTTAAATATTTTCAATTCTGATTGTATACGTGGTTCTAACTACTCTTATCCCTACAACCAGAGAGATGAGATGGAGTTGCATTTGTAGTCTAAGTCAGTAGATATTCCGGGGGGGGGAGGGGTACTTCGGAGTTAAAGTGACGCGGATAATCGAAAGGGGCCAAAAAACAAAAACCCTAAAAAATTACCTCGCGCGTCAAAAGATTTTTTTTTTCAGAATTTTTTCCTTCTGGATGACTCATCCCCTTCGGAGAAGGGTAAAATGAGCGGCCACAGCGGGGGGTAGGACACAGAAAGCCTTCTGGGTGATTCATCCGCCATTTTCCCCTTTTTTGACAGGGAAAGCTCTGTTACAATTGGGCTATGCCACAGGCAGCCCAATAAAAATTACACCCCAGGGCTGAGTTCCAAACCCAGTTAGCTTCAATGCACTGTAAACAGTGTTGTACGAGTTTTCGTGATACGTGTGACTTCCTCAGGAACTCGGGAACAGGACTATTCCCTTTTTGTTTATCTTTTTTACGGCTTATCTATGAAGTTCAGTACTTTTAAATGATCTGCGATACTCTTTACGGGCTCGTAGGATGTTAGTGGTGAATTTTGCCCGCACATGCAGCTGTACTGTTAACCTGAGATCAGGCTCTATTTTCGTTTCGCTTTGAAAATTACATTCCAATTTTAGCGGTAGCCGTTAGAGAGAATGTATGAGAACCGCTCAAATTGGGCCTGATCTCAGGTTACTGTGCTGTCGTCTATTCTCTCTAATGTCGTGAAATGCTTTACCAATTATGCTAATTTCATAACATAAACAAAACACAGATGAAACGCTTGGAGGTTTTTACCGATCATTTAATACTGAAATCACAGAGTGCTATCTTTTATTCGATCTGGAATTCTGGCCGGACACAAAAATTACATTTTCCCAATATGGCACTAATGTGGCTTTTTAAAAGCATTGCTGTGATTATATAGGGCAGTGTAACAATTAAAAAAAAAACCTTCCAGGGGCACTCAACGAGAATATATTTCAAAACCACTTAAACATAGCATTGTTAAACGTCTTTTAGTATTTAAACGGTAGATATAGGCATATTTTTATCCCCTAAAAACTTTTCATCTGTTCGGATTTCCTAGCTGCAAGTCTAGTGATCCGAAAATTATGGGGATCAGAACTTACCTTTTCGAAAATTTCAGCCAGAAAAAAGGCTCCCGAAAATTCTAGGAGACCTTTTTAAAATAAAAATTAGTTAAAAATGGGCAATTCTAATGTTTAGATGTTCGAAAATCCTCAACAAATGTTCCGAAAATTCTAGATCTCAAATCGTCTTCCGAACAGATATTTTCCGAAAATTGACGTTGGGTGCCCCTGACCTTCCTAATCTTCTATCACGTGCAGCAGCACGAGAACCTGAACAGTGATAAGTTAATAGTTTGTTTTAGTCTGGGTAAGGGTTAAGGTTGGGGTACTTGCGGTTTTGCATAAATTTAAATATGAAAGGAAAAATGATAGACCATATGAATTCTGGTCTTCGTAGTAAAAGCACGTCATCGGGCAAATGCCTATTTGATAACTACTGTACCGGACTGCTCATTCTTTAATGTCTCTGTAAAATTTTATCGAAATCGCCTTCGTCTTAAACAGCCAATACATAAGCATTTTAAAAGAAGTAGATCAAGCAAAATTTTGCCTTTTGAAATGAATTCATGAATCAGCTTGTAGTCCTGCGCGACCTTGAGGGCGCTTATATTTCTGAAATGCTTTACCAATTATGCTAATTTCATAACATAAGCAAAACACAGATGAAACGTTGATAAACCATCTGTACAGCTGATCAAAGACCTACCGTTTGTCGATCCGTTTAATTTGGACAAATCTTTCATAGCGCAACTTTAACGCTCTTAGGAATTTAAATCGAATCTTTTAAGTCTTATACAAGTTATTCTTGTCAAAACTTAACAAATGGCACGTTTTTAGATTTCGTTTCACAGAAATTTACCTCTGGAAGTTTAAAATGAAAACTGTTTCCTGCTATTCTTAATATTCGCTACCTGCTCACTGACGAATCCCGGGACGAATCCCAGTTTTCAAACGTTATCTTTTTGTACTGCGACACTCTCACAAGTAAGGAGTCTTTTAAGACGATAGCGATAATTACTACTAAAAACGAGGCAGATAATCGGATTGATAGCACAGTTTGCGTAAGCCATAAAGAGGGTGACAGTATACTTTAGACTACCGCAAGACCTAATGGAACTGTCCGTTGTAAGAAAAAATATTAACTTGTTACTGTAAAAGGGTATCCAGCAAATGAAAAACACTGCAACGATAGCAATAGCCATTTTAAGAACGTTTCTGTTTCTTCTTGTCCGCTGTTCCTCGGCGTTGGCTGACTGTTCACCTGGATGAGCTTGTTTTTTAAGCTTGATCATGATTATGGAGTAAACTGCAACCAAAAGGACGGTAGGGATGTAAACGAACAAGACAGCTAGTATTAGAAAATAAATGGCATATGAGCTTTTCTCTCCAAAGGTCTCCTCCCACTGACGCTTGCACACTATTCCTTCTGGGTCTTCAACTAGTTTGAAAGCAAAAAGGTATGGCGATACTATCGTCATTGCAACAATCCACGAGAAAGGAATAAAGAACGCACAGAGCTTGGGACTGACGATAGGAGAACGTAGTGGAAATACAACCGCTCCAAATCGATCGACTGTTATCAGAACCAGGCTCTGAATCGAGACTGACGTGGAAGCATCTGCAAGGAAAGCGTGTAACTTGCACAAGGCCTGACCAAGGCCACCATTAATGGGCCAAGAGCCAACGTGCAACTCTGCCAGGCGAATAGGAAATAAGATTACTGGAAAAAGCAAATCTGACATGGCCATGTTCACGATCAATAGGTTAATCGGTTTTCTTAAAGTTGGTGTTTTGTAGACAATTATTCCGATAAGAGAATTTCCAACCAACGAAACAACAATGATCAGGCTGTAAACTATTGTTTTTGCAAGTTTTTCTGCTGACGGATTTATCGGACTGCAGAAGCTTCCGTTCCCAGTCTGCTCCACCAGTGTTGTGTTCATGTTTTATGGTTTCTCTGAGGTTAAGTATTCCTTTGCTCAAGTAGCAAATCAGGACACAGCATTCCCTGTTTCTTATTGTGCGTCGTTCCTCATTCTCAGTGATGGCTGATCCCTCACCTCGATAAAATCGAACTTGTTGATTCCGCTGTGATCTACAGACTAGTTATTACAAAAGCCGANTGCAAGTTTTTCTGCTGACGGATTTATCGGACTGCAGAAGCTTCCGTTCCCAGTCTGCTCCACCAGTGTTGTGTTCATGTTTTATGGTTTCTCTGAGGTTAAGTATTCCTTTGCTCAAGTAGCAAATCAGGACACAGCATTCCCTGTTTCTTATTGTGCGTCGTTCCTCATTCTCAGTGATGGCTGATCCCTCACCTCGATAAAATCGAACTTGTTGATTCCGCTGTGATCTACAGACTAGTTATTACAAAAGCCGAGAAGGGTCTTCCGACTTCCAACTTCCAACTTCCAATTTCTGACTTCCCGACTTCCGACTTCCTTATTGCGCGAGATTGCCGACTGAGTCGGATTGAAAAGCTTGCTAATATGGAGTTATAGCAATCGCTAAGTGCCAACGAACAAAGATTTCACCTATTATACGCGCGCGCCGTTCAGTTTTACTGCTCAATAGCGTAGCGCTCGAATGACGTTGGAGCGACCAATTTTTGCTATTTTTGTCACAGATTTGTCATTTTTCTCATTTTAATGACAAAAGACAGACAAACATGATATTTTAAAATGACAAAATCAGATAAGTTTCGAGTCTATAAATAGTAACTGCGCACATCGCTAATGTCATTATTATTAATTACCTTAATTTACTTAAAATAGTTTGAGCTCAATTCGATTGCATAAGCGAAATTACCTTGAAAATAGGAGTCATCATGGAAAAAGGTGTTGGACTGACCTAGGAGTTATCATGGACAATTGCTTACTTGCAATTGCCGACGACTTAGTGGAAAACTACTCATCTCCGACCCGAACATGTTCAAAATGTCGAAATTTGGAGCTTATGAGTTCAATTTTGTCCTACAAGCCTCCCATGCAGTCGTTCTTAGTAATTGGAGGAGGAACGCGTGACGAACCCCTGAGACATCTGCGAAGGAGACTAATTGGCCCTAATTAACTGGATAAGTTATTACATTTTCAAAGGTCTATTTCTCCAACACAGCGTTCAACAAACAACTTTGACTCATCATGATCAGCACAGCAACCAGCATTGAAGAATATGTAGGCGAATCCTCGTTTACATTTTTTGCCTCATTAGCATAGGCTTATCCTAATCTGATGAATACGAAAGCAGAGGAGGGTCTTCCGACTTCCGACGTCCGACTTCAGACTTCAGACTTCGAACTTAAGACTTCATTCTTCAAACTTCAGACTTCAGACTTGACAAAGTTCGAACTCCGGATTTCTGATTTCTGACCGTTGAGACTCAATGCTGCATGGTTAGACTTCTGACCTCCCAGCTCCCACTTCCCACTTCCCACTTCTGACTTCCCACTTCCCACTTCCCAATTCCGATTTCCGACTTCCGATTTCCAACTTCCAACTTCCCACTTCTAACTTCCCACTTCCGATTTGAACTCCTCTGTCGGGCTCGATTGCCGCTCGATCCGCCACGCGGGTATTAAGGTCAAGGCTCAGTAGAAAGAACGGCTGTACCGTTCTAGCCACAAAAGAGAACAACTAAAGTTGCTCTTGTAAAAGCAACTAAGCCCAAAGCCAATAAGGCAACTGATGAGGTTCGCTTGGGGAACCGAAACCTCGGTCTTGCCTGATCACAAAGTGGCAACAGTGATAGCAAAACAGTCCAAACACTGTTAAGCTTATTAAAAACCAGGTAAAAACCTATAACCAAGGAAAGACATACGCGCTCTAGTCAAAAAACTCACATTTTCTTTAGAAAAACACTAAGCTGGATTCTACTGAGTCACAATTCATTCTCCATAGTTGATTTCATTTTAGGCTGCACTTCAATCTTATCACTTGGGATCTGTAAATCACTATCCGTGATAATTTAACATCCTGCAGCCCCATCCTGCAAAGAAAACTAACCAGCTGGGCCCAGCCCTTACTCGGCCTTAATAGAAAGCTTTAAAGCATCAGAGGGCAAATCCGGCCGACCAGAAACAAAAACCACAGTAAATCGATATGGGTGCCATGACCTCTCAGTGTGAAATAGGCGGCTTTTAAAACCAGAACCTTCTAGAGCATAATCTACCCAGCAGAAGGGAAAAAAAACGTTTTTGGAACAAGCAGCATTTTATATATTCTTATAACCGCATTATATACAGATCATTATCGCCTTGTATACAGCATATATACACTTTGATACCCCGTATATACACCTGTTTTTAACAATTATTCCACGAGCGGCGTTGGATACGCGCCGAGTTGGCTATAATTATCTCATATCCAACAAGCGCTACCCCCTAGATGACCTGCGGTTTTCTAATACAACTGGTATTCTGCAAAAAAAAAAACTATGTGGTTTATTGGTGATGAAGTAGAGCAAGAGACGAGTGCACCCCCTCCTAAAAAAAATCCTGGATCCGCCCCTGTAAAACAAGACTGCAGCTCTCGATTTGTGCATACTCTCAGAAAACACTTTCTGCCGTTTCGCCAGAGACAAATGTGTTGGGCCACAATTTGAGGTACAACCCTTACAAGTCTATTAAGAAACGTGCCTCATTTTCTCGAGTTATATACGAGAAGCCCAACAAACTTTTAAAATTACGGAATACAGGACTATCTAATCGATAAACTACTCAAGATGCAATTTTTCTTTACTTTACTTCAGTCAGTTACAATAAATAAGTACATATCGATGATAACTAATTAAAGTAAAATAACTAGAGAATAGATAATGGCAGAAACAAGACAAAGGAAAAAACAACGCTTATGGTAATGAGGAGGGAAACTGATGCCCAGTGAGGAACACGCAGTTTCTCCTTTGTTTCGTTTCTCCTTTTACCCAACAGTTGTCAGTGGATGGGAGGAAGGAGAGTGATAACCCCTCCCCCCCCGCTACTCTCTCCTCTGCAGAGGACCAAGATGGCTTTGTATTTCCAGAAATTTTCGGCTAAGTGGTGCTAGGCAGTGTGAAGAAAGGTGGTCGCCTGATCGATCTTTTAGTTTCCACGCCTGCTCCAGTTTCATGCAGTGGAAATCCAATCGACGAACCTCTGTAAAGGAGATCCCGGTAGTCCTAACTGATAAACTACTAATACTAGAAGGAGAAATTGGGCGCCAGTAAACTTAACTTAAAATCCTTATCTAGGTGTGAAAATCCTAAATGATGACCAAACTTTGTTACCAACAGTCAAACAATATGGCAATGGTAGGGATATCATAGAGCATGCTCTTTCGTGTGAGCAAGAGTTTTGGTCTTGTGTTAAGAAAAACTGAATATATGACTCAACGTTAATTTACTATGTTTTTTAAAAGTAAGTTCAAGAATAACTTGGAAGATCTTGTGGAAGGTCCAGACCATTTGAAAACCCTTAAGGTATGTTCCAATGCAAGTTCATTCCAAGTTTTTCATCCAAAATGTGCCATGCATTAAGTTGGATCTACTATTTTGCTTGTTTGCTTCTGCAATGTTACCCCACCCCCTCCCTTGCACTTTGACATAATAAATCTATTATTACAGTGTCCCTACTGTAACCTGGTCAGAATTGACAAATCTGATTAAAAGAAAATAATAAACGAAATAATTTATCAATTATTTTGTGCTTTGTGATGCTTATCGTTTCCTTATGAGCTGCTGATTTGCTACAAAAAGTCTACCAGTGCTTTCTCGTAATGTATTGCTACTTTCCTGTGATCCAATTGGACAATTTTGTCCTTTTTACAGTAGTNAGAAAAACTGAATATATGACTCAACGTTAATTTACTATGTTTTTTAAAAGTAAGTTCAAGAATAACTTGGAAGATCTTGTGGAAGGTCCAGACCATTTGAAAACCCTTAAGGTATGTTCCAATGCAAGTTCATTCCAAGTTTTTCATCCAAAATGTGCCATGCATTAAGTTGGATCTACTATTTTGCTTGTTTGCTTCTGCAATGTTACCCCACCCCCTCCCTTGCACTTTGACATAATAAATCTATTATTACAGTGTCCCTACTGTAACCTGGTCAGAATTGACAAATCTGATTAAAAGAAAATAATAAACGAAATAATTTATCAATTATTTTGTGCTTTGTGATGCTTATCGTTTCCTTATGAGCTGCTGATTTGCTACAAAAAGTCTACCAGTGCTTTCTCGTAATGTATTGCTACTTTCCCGTGATCCAATTGGACAATTTTGTCCTTTTTACAGTAGTTGCACTGCAAGTATCAACATTTCAAACCAAAGTCTATAGATCACGTTTCTCTGTATACTATGACTGAATAGTCAAACTAAAAATAGAACTTTCACTTACTCCCAATTCATTACACAGGTTGTCCCATTCGCCAGAGCCATAAGTAAGTTCTTTTGCTCAAAAGTCACTCAGGTGACAACGCTTAAAAAGTCACTCGTAGTCAACTTCAGATAGACCTTTAAAACTAACTCTTACTATGTACCTCCTAAGATATCAAATAACATGTTTAAACAAAAAAGAAAAAAAAAATAGAAAAAAAAGGAAGGAAAGAAATTACTGTCACTGACAATCGTGAAGGTACCCAAATTAAACGTTTTTCAACAATCACTGCCCCCAAATAACTGGTTTCCTCAAATAAGCACCATGAAACGAACAAGTTAAAAAATTTCATATGCACTATGGTGCTCTCTTGAGTAAATACAGTTTACTCTGTCGTTGTCTGTATGTTTTGTTGTCAGAGTAGCTGTATTCTGTTCTGCATCATTTATCTACACCAAGCAAGAAAGGTAGCTTAAGAAAACAGCTGTCAATTTGCAACGTCACCACTGATCTCCTTGTGCAATGGCAGGTATGGAACTAGCAAAGAATATCCAAACTCATGACATGTCTCTACACAAACTTGGCTAGTGTTTAGATGGGTTAAACAGGGTGTAAAGACAGTCAGTTTTACAGCCTGCCATTCGGGCAAGCTGTAGCTAGCATGTACTAGCCCACAAGTCATTTCAACTAGCCCCAAAACTCTTTTTGATTAGCAGGATTGATTACAATCCTTCTGTAAT